TCACAACTTGAAAAAATATCGTGCAATAAAAACAAAAAATTAAAAAAAAAAAAATGTATAGTCATGAAAAAATATACAAATGTCTCTAATTATATATGTATATATATATATATATATATATCTGTAATAATAATAATAATAAGTAAATTACATCATCTTCATTATTATCATCATTGAAATGATCTCAAATAATTAATAAGTAGATTGTAAATTTAATAACTCTACATGATGACAATATGTACTGATTATGATATAATTATTATTTATCTTGACATTTTTGTTAAAAGTTTAAGCATCGAGTAAAAATTTACGTATACCTACGTAGCATAAACTATTTACTTGTTTATAAATTTTTCATTTAGCTGCCAATAATTTAATGAGATTCTCACAGTTATTGCCAAATGATAAAATAATCCTGCGTGTAACTGTTACGTTGTCAATATATAATATTTTTAGTATTCTAAAAAAATTAATCCATTGTTACAATACAATTACAATTACAAAATGAGTTACGTAGTTAATCTCAGTGAGATTCAAAAGACTGCACTTGCATATATTTGTATTTTTTCATAACTTATGAATATTAAATACATATGCAACATCACTAAATGCAGTTTGTTCAATAATTTATCACCCAAAACCATCGATTGTTATCGAGTGGAATTTTTTAAAAAACGTATTTAACAGCTTGGCATATACGTTGAATTATTCATACACATTTTCAATGTACAATGTTCGATTAAAAAAAAAAATAAGAAAAATTTTTTTTTGTTTGGAGAAGAATCTCGTTGATAAATAGCAATATTTGTATTTATATTCAATATCGTTGAACAAAATTATGGACGATTGATATGTGTTGATTCTCGACGTACTGCAAGCTCACTGGGTATTGGTTCATCCATCGCAGTCACGATAAAAGTGCATCGTGAATTCAAGATAATCACCTCCGTGATTATTTTTACAAACATGCTGAAATTGATAAAATTTTTATATTAGTAATAGATATTTATTGTACAGCCAGGTGATGCCAAAAAATAGAATCATTTTTTTAAATTTTATATGAAGATCTTTACATTTTGTGATTTTTTTTTAAATTTAATAATATAAATTTAAGTTTGTGTATAATCGAGTTACATAACAATCGATCCGCCGATAATTGATCCACATGGCTTTTGATCCGAAAGATAAATAATTCGAAAACAACAAGTCAATTCTCTGAATATGTTCAAGGAGACAATTCAATTGAACATGGAAGATTTATAGAGTTAAAATTGAATCGTCTAATTAAACCTATTGAATCTGTCAGCAATAATAAATATACAAATCTGTGACAAAAAGTACAATATTTAACACTCAATTAAATCGCATATTAAACATATGCTTTGATATATTTATAAACCATTTTTCTTATCTCTCTTCTATTTTCGTTTACAATTACAAAAACTGATAATTGAAAAAAGTAGAACGTACATATCAATATTCTAGCGCCGCATTTCACTACTAAAGATCGAAAAAAAGAAATAAAATAGAATTAGAAGAAATGAATAATTTAAAAATTACTTCAAATATTTACTCGATGAATTCAGTTCATTAAATTTTCAAAATACCTTACAGCAAAAATAAATTTCAGTTACAAACCTTTAGTTTTATAATTTAGATATTTTGCTCTTAGAAATATTTATTTTAGAAAAATAGTATATTTTATTTTGATAATTTTTAAATATGAAAAACACAATTAAGGCACATTTGTGCAGTTAAAATAAGAAAACCTGTATAGGCTTAATTTTATGACCTTATTAGGTACTTGAGTTGTACAAAGGACTCCTTATTCTACTATGTGCAGTACAACCAAAAATTACGGTCTTAGTTAAGAAGAAAAACATCAAAATATGTGTTTTACTAAGGACAATACAGAGGGTTAGACCTCACAATAAAATAGTTTTAACATTATAGTTAATTTTTAAAATAAAGATTTTATTTAAATTACTCTATGTGGATAATAATATTGTCTTTTCTCTTTATTAATTATCAATTCTATCCATAACTTCCTACAGGTTATAAAATAAAAAAAAAAAATGTGTAAAACTGCAAAATTCTTCATATTAAATATAAAAATAATAAATCAACTTCTGGCCACTTTGATAAATAAAAATAAAAGATAGATGGCAAAAAATTACCTCATGAGGCGGTACCGTAGGTACCCGAAATTTGAGGGTTTTCCTCAAATAAAAGGCGACATCAATAACAAAAGCCTGGTCACTGGGCTGATTACTGTTTTCCGCATACTGGTGCTGTTGCTGCTTCTGATGAGTGTACCCCCATCCACAAGCGATAGTTTCATCAGCCGTCAGACTGGGAGTAACCTGACACTGCTGTACGACTTGCCAGTACCAGGGCATTCCGATAAAATGTAGCGTCAAATGCGTGTCAGGCATGTGTTTTGATAACGGAACATTACAGCTGAAATTATTCGGCGCGCTGGGAGAAGTTATTGAGCAGTACCGCTGGTCCAAGGTCGCATTGAAGCTCTTTGCAACAATATGTAACTGTGGTTTCGGTTCTGGAGGTATCGAGCCAGCTGCATTACTCGCAACTTCGCCCCAAACTCCGCTTCCAGCCTCCCTTCTGCTCCTCTTGGGCATATACTTAAAGTGGGTGTCTTTCACCAAAGTCTGGGTGCTGGAATCCGCAGGACTGATCCCATTCTGCATTCCCTTATTCAATTTTCGCTTCTCTTCATGAACACCCAGCGGCTGTTCCAAATGAATCGACATGGACTTCTTCTCAGGCGGATGTTCCGGGCGGGGTTCCTCCAGCTGGTGAATATCCGAAGTGCAGCAGTAAATTTGGCAAGCGTTTTCCAGCTCAGTAAAGTGCAGAGGACAATCAGCAGGCCTGCCCAATGGAACCGGACCGCGGTTCAGTACCGGTGGGTCTACATCAGCATTCTGATCATTCTCATCAACATTGCTAGGAACCGGACCCGCGCCATGTCTCAGCCAATTATTCGACAATTCGTTGTTCTTGTCGGACTTGGCCTGCGGACCCGAATGACCGAACGGATACCAGGAAGTTATTTCTTGCGAGTAGTACTGCTGCTTGGTGTTGGGAGCACTAGTCGACATCACATTGTCCTTTGTCACATGACCGTCTAGAGTTTTGGTGAACAAACCTTGCCGCGTGTAAAACGGCGAAACCGTGCTGTGAAGCAATGGGTTAAATCTTGAATCGTAGGAGGGAGTTGTTGGTAATGTCGGAGCAGTTCCAATTGCCAGCATTCCTCCTGCTGCTACTGCTGACCACTCGAGATTGCTGCGTTTTTGGTATTCCAGGAAATATAGAGTCGCCATTGCGACCAAACAAAATGCCATTATGAGAATAAGAATAACTATTATTATTTGGATAAATTTATTGCTACACAATAAATCTTCTTCTTTGTCACGTTTCCCGTGGGTCAGTGAATTATTATTATTACTACTATTAAAGTTGTTGTTATTATTATTATTATTATGATTATAATTGTTATTATTCTTGGTTTTAGCTGATGATGAATATTTACTGCTAGCAATGCTGGACACAGTGCTAACGGAGCTTTTTAGACTGTCACCGCGTTTTAGTTTCGCGAGACGTTTATTGATCCTCTCGAGCTGATCAATGCGTGTCTCGAGACTGTCTGTTACTTTGCAGAGTTCTTTAACGGCCCCGACATTCTCCATAAATATTCTTTCTTTATTGACAACCAGAAAATTATCAATGCGCTGGCCGTTTGGCAGAACAATGTCGCCGGCTGGCAGGACCGCCTCAGGCAAAATTTGCTGGACTTCTTGAGCTATCACCCCGGTGTCCTCTTGGGCCTTTATACCCAGCCCGGAATGCAAAGCGAATTCTGGAGCGTACCTGTACCGTACGACTCGTAATTGTTGGACGTTTCGCAATTGTTCTCGGGTGTCGACTTCCTGGACATTTTGCTTGGCACGGGCGTCACTCGGCTGGACTATGTGTCCGGTTACTTTCATGTTCCCGTGGACTACCAGGGCCTCGTCAGGGCGGTCTGTGTTGATTCCGACCCGTCCGGCGTGGTAAACTGTGTCTGGTGCTGCTCCACGCTGCCACCCGCTCTCCGTGCTGACTCCTGTGCCTTCGGACTCAAATTGTCCGGGATTGCTCGCGCGGACGATTATCCTCTCGCTGGCGTGCGCCACTACTTGGTAACTTGACTGGTCTGATGTGTGCGCGTGGAGGCCTACCACCAAGTGGAAGTATCGCTGGTCGGGATTCGGTTTTCCTTTTTTTCGCATATTGTTGCTTGTTGTCTCGCTGAAGTGCAGACGGCCAACTGTCACCTTAGTTACACGCTCACCTCCCAGCTCGACCCTGAAACCCGCTCTATTTTAGTGTAATGGGAATACTGGGTAGATTAAATTATTAATTTATTTTTTTTTCTTTTAAATAAATTAATAATTGTAATCCTAATAATTGGTATTTATTTTTAAAAATTGTTAATAAAACTAGCAATCAGCAATTTTTATCTGAATAATTTAAAAAATTAATTGAAAGTTATAAAACAAAAATATTAGAAAAGTGGTACAATTAATTTTTTTTTTGGAAATCTATTTGATGTAACCGATCTTATATAGTAATTTAAACAAATTTTAATCTGTTTTTTTTGTTTTGTTAATATACATCGTACAATAATATTGGCTCAAAAATTTTTTTATATAGATATATACACTGATAAAAAAATTAATTTGATGCAAGAAAAAAAATTCTTGAACTAAAAAATTGTTCTTGACTTAAGTAAATTTGACTTTATTAAAAAAATTTTCTGTTTGATTCAAGATGAAGGAATTCTTCAGAAATTGATCTTAGTTGGAAATTTTTTTTTTTTTTTTTTTTTTTTTTTTTTCCAAATTAAGTTTACTTTTTTTATCAATGTATAAGGTAAAAGACCTTATTAGCGGCATATTTAACCCCTATTAGTGGCACTTTTTCTTTCAATGAAAAAATGTTCTACTTGGAATAAAAATTAAAAATTTTTTTAATCTAAAGGTCTTAAAGATTAGAAATAATATATTCATTATTTAAATTAATGATTTTATTAATTGAATAAGTACCAAAATCAAAGAGTCAGTAATAGGGTCCCCGCCATTAATGGGGTCTTTTACTCTATATACACCATATCAGCAGAATTGCGCCTATGATTTTCAAACGATCTTATTGAAATTTTGTATATACTTATCAAATGAATGAGTATCTAGACCAATGTCAGAGATCAGTAAAATTAATCAATTAAGATGTAAATAGTGGTTCACGGAAAAAAGTAAACTGTAATAAATAACAATCGATTTATAATAAGTAATGATCAACTGCTAAAAATTACCATTTCAAACAGTAAAAATCGTGATTTTACTATTCACTTTATAATATTTACCATTTAAACGTTACAATTTACTCTTTACATGGAAGAAAATACTATTTAAAACAGTAATATTCGCTATGTAAATGTCTAAAATGTTAAAGTATAATAATTAAGAATTCAGACTTTAATATTTATCATTTCGTATCTAAAAAGTATAAAATAAAGTTAGTAAATTTCTAATACAAGCAACGTCAATATTTACAAAGTAAAATGGTAAATTTTAAACACAACGCTAAAAATCAAACTGTAATTATATATATTGACTTGCTTGGGCTGGTAAAATGTATATTTTAAACGTATAATTTTTACTGTTTCAAATGTTAAATTCTCCCAAAGTGAGA